TTTTTTTTTTTTTTTTTTTTTTTTTTTTTTTTTTTTTTGCTAGCTGGTCTGGACTTACCACACTTAGGAGAATTTCCAGAGGAAGAGCAGCTGTCCCAGGCCTGAAGGGGGAAGGAAGTTGGGAGGGTTGGGACAAGTCCCCCTCCTGCCGACTAGACAATGCAGGAGAAATCCGTTTTCATTTGGGGTGATTAGGTGAGTTGCTTTTGCTCTGAGTGCGTCTTAGAAAAGGAGAGAGGAGGTCAGTTCCAGAGAAGGAAAAAGCAGCAAACAGATAGCAGGTGCTGAAGAAAGTCCAGTAGCAGCCGTGGAATGGGGAAAAGGAGAGGGCGCAGTTATTGTGAGGGAAAGGAGATAAAGGGATTGCTGAAGGGGAAGGAGGAGGGTAGAAGATTGGGATGCTTCAAAGAGGAAGCTAAATGTGCTAAGTTTGAAACGAGTCTCTGTGAGCTGAATGCTGTCTACAATGTTGAGTGTACCTGTGGGTCTGACAGGTTTCGTGTTCTTTGGGTAAGGACAGTTGTAATATTTTTATAGACCCAGGCTGGGCCTTAGCATCCTCCCTTCCTTCTCACCCCTAAGGATCCAGGCCCCTAAGTGCCTCCGGTATTGTCTTGGAAGTAAGGCTTGACAAAAGAAGGAAGAGCGAGACTAATTAGCAAACGAATTAATTAAGGCCTTTGTCCAGATTGACTCTTTCAAGTTGGCTCTTTCTTTACTGTCCTGCACTTTACCGGAGCTTTACCTCTTGGCTGCTGGAAGGGTGCCCTGGGGTTGTAATCCTGGCAGGGCTGTGCAGAGACTGCTGTAGAGGGATTGAGAGGTCCAGACCCGCTGGTCACCACAGCTAGTAGGAAGCCAGCCAGTTTGAAGCCTGGTCAACTCAGGAAGATCCTGGAATTTTGTTTTGTGTTGTGTGTGTGTTTAAAGGTTTATTTTATGTGTGTGTGCATGTGTGTGTTTTGTCTGCAGGTATGTATGTGCATCACATATATGCGGTGCCCACGGAGGGTGGGCAGGATGTCAGATATTCTGGAACTGGAGTTACAGGCTGCAGTGAACCTTCATGTGGGTGCTGGGATCTGAACCTGGGCCCTCTGCAAGAGCAGTCAGTGATCTTAACTTCCGAGCCATCTCTCCAGCCTCAAGATCCTGTTTTGAAGTGTAATAAGAAGGTAGATTGTTAGTACAAACAAATCCTGACTAGAGGAAACATATTTAGCAGATAGGTCTACATAACATGCACATATATGTATAAGGAAATTTATTTGGCCCAGTGCTGGTGGCGCAAGCCTTTAATCCCAGCACTTGGGAGGCAGAGGCAGGTGAATCTCTGTGAATTCAAGGCCAACCTGGTCTACAGAGTGAGTTCCAGGGCAGCTAGGTCTGTTACACATAGAAACCCTGTCTCGAAAAACCAAAAAAGAAAAAAAGGAAAAAAATATTTATCAAAGACCTGACCTGTGATCAGACCAGTTCAGCCTGGGCAGCAGTGCAAGCCCTTTCACGCCTATCAGCCAGCAGAATGGAAGTGCCCTGGTGAGCTGTAGTGAGACTGTGGGGCAGTTTTCTTTCGTGCTTTGCTGTCCTCAGGCTGGGGATAGACCCTAGCGCCTCCCACAAATGTAAGCAAGAACTCTGCCATAAAACTATGTTTTCAGCCCTGGAAAAACACTTTGATTTAAAGACAGGGTCTCACTATGTTATCCTGGCTGGCCTGGAACTTGCTGTGTAGACAAAGTTGGCCTTGAACTTACAAAAAAGATCAACCTTCCCTGCTTCTTGAGGTCTGGGATTAAGGGATTGTACTTTTATATACTGTTGGTGGGGATGTAAGTGTGTACAAACCACCTTGGAGAGTAGTAGTGTAACAAATATCTAGTTGACAGCTGGTTGACATGCTCATCTATCTAGAATGTGTAAAGACAATAATAAATACAAAAGAAGTACAAGAATTCTGTTGCAGCTCCACTGTGGATGGCACCAATAGGGCCATACATCAATTTTTAGAAAGACCTTTCCTCGTACAGACTGAAGAGATGGTGGGTCTCTAGGTAAAGTGCTTGCCTTGAAAGCATGAAGAACCAGCTTTGGATTGTAAAAGCCAGCTGGTGCAGCATTTGCCTGCAGGCCCTAATATTGGGGTGGGGGTGGCAGTGTGGAGATAGGTGTCTGCTGTGGGTTTAATGGCTAGCCAGTCTAGCTATAGATTCAGTGAGAGACTCTGCCTCAAAAAATTTGGTGGACAGTGGTAGATGTCCCAGGTACCCACACTGCCTCCAGCTTTCACATGAGCATGTGTGTGCGGGATACCTGCAGACATGTGCATTCATTCGCACACTGAATACACGCCCAAGGCCCCACACGACTGAACGTTACAGCACTGTGAAAAAATAAATAAGAGCAGCAGTGGGGTCACATACCTGAAATTCTAGTACTGTAGAGGTAGAACAAGTTCACAGCCAGCACGGCTGCTGAAAACTTGTGTCAGCCCTCCACCCCAGGAAATTATACTAATGCATTAAAGTGGATGTATATCAGAAACTTGATACGGATTGGGAAAACAAATCCCACAAGAATTTTTGCAGATTTTTTCCACTTGTATATTTTGAAAACCCAAGACTGCTTGTGGTTATATATATGTATAGTAATGTAAGCACATGCATGGGAACTACAAAAATTCACAAGTAGTGCTTATCTTTGGGTAGAGAAGGTGAGGCATGGACTAAGACTGGCATGCAGAGCTTTAATTTTACTTACTATTACTTAAACTCAAGTCAGGTAATTACAAATTAAGATTTGTTAATGTTGGATGTAGTGTATAGAGATTAAGTACATTATTTTAAATATTTTTCAAATATCTGAAATATTTCTCGTATGTAAAGCGTTTTTTTTGTTTATGGAACACAAAGTTTTATCCTGTAACACTGGGTCTGTAACTGCAGCTTCTAGTCCAACCTAGTGTAGTGGGCACTGGGGCTCCTCCTTGATTGCCTTTCTTACCTTTAACCTAGCTTTGCCATGAGTAACAAAAACAACAAAACACTTTCAAAATTATTATTATTATTTTGTTTTTCGAGACAGGGTTTTTCTGTGTAACAGCCCTAACTGTCCTGGAACTAGCTCTGTAGACCAGACTGGCCTCGAACTCACAGAGATCCACCTGTCTCTGCCTCCCCAGTACTGGGATTCAAGGTGTGCGCCACTACCACCTGGCTTTAAAATTATTTCCAATTTAAAAACATACATGTGTGATGTTTTGCCTGCATGTATGACTGTGTAGTGCAGCATGCCTGGTGCCTGAGGAGGCTGGAAGAGGGCTTTGGATCCCCCAGACCTGGAGTTAGGGTTATGAACAGCTGTGTGGGTGCTGGGACGAGTGGCCAGTTCTCTACTGCTGAGCTGTTTCTCTCCAGCCACAGATAACTTTTATCTTGGACTTGCTGACGGATGTGGAGGACTTTTCTAGTTTTTGCTAATTTTCTAGTGGGCCTAGATCAGCAGTTTGAGTTTTGTTCCAATGTAAATGCTGCTCCACATTCTGATCCACCAGGTGTAAGATGGCCCCGATGCCGATGGTCACTAGCCTGTCTCCAGGCTCCTCCTCAGGCTGTACTTTGTTCCTGCTCCATGTCTGGGTTTGATTTGGATCATATGATACGTGATGCTGGTCACTTGGAGTCTGGCTTCTGAGTGCAGGCATAGGTCCCTGAAGGAAGGATGAGGGAGCAGCTAGGAGATGGCTCAGTGGGTAAAATGCTTGCTGAGCAAGCGTGAAGACCAGCATTCAGATACTTTGTACCAGGCAAATGCTGAATAACCGCCTGTAATCCCAGTGCTCCGGAGCTAGAGACAGAGGATCCCCAAATAAACTGGCTAGCTAGACTAGCTAAATTGGCAAGCTTTAGGTTCAAGTGACAGACCCAGGATAGAGAATCATCTAAGAAGACACGATGCCAACCTCTGGCTGCCATAGGAATGCATTCACACCTGGATACACGTGCATTCCCAACATGTGAACATGTTGTTTGTGTGGTCATACATACTACCCATGTATGCTCATTAAAAATAAGCTAACAGTAGGATTGCATGTCATTATCCATAGCCTGTTTTCTAACCCACCTCCCA